GCTGCGGGGAGCGTATGAAACACCAGAGCTTTTGGGGGAAAGCCGCTGGGTTAACTGCCCCTGTGCAAGACGGAGCTCTGGGAGCTCGGGCTCTCGTGGGGCTGGGGACTGGCCTGACTCCAACGTAAGGAACTATTAAGTGCCCAGCAATGATAGAAAGCCTGCAATTCTGTTTTGGCCACCCAAAACAGTGGAGAACCGAGTCTGTGTGCTGCTCTTTCATGCTGGAGCGTCCTTGTCTAGTAACTGCAGAGCTCCTTCACCTAAGGACCTCTGTATGCAAGTGCAGAAATCGATGGTGTATGTAGGATACTCTGTCTTGTTTTCACTTCTCCCCTGTTCATGCTTATCCCTTCGCAGTTGGAAAGGGAGAAGGATGGGGTTAAGAAAGGGATATGGGATTAAAAAAAAGGAGGAAGGGAGGAAAAAGGAAATAGTTGTGTTTTAAGCTTCCCCCCCCCCCTTTTTATTTTCTTTGAGCTGGGCAGGAGACATCAGTTGATAACATAACTGTTACCAACTATACCATGCCAGTGTTATTCCAAAAGGCTGGACTGTCACAGAGAATTGCAGGCTATTCTGGTTAGTTATAAGGGGGTTACTGGTCTTTCTGTCCTCTTAGCAGCCTGTCCTCTGTTATATACAGAAGTGTAACATCTTAGTGAAAATATGAACTTTCTCACTGATGAGTCCACTACTTAAAGTATTATCTGCCAGTACATCTGGCCAAACTGGAGTACGGAGTACTGAAACTAGGAACAGTAATTCATCTACAGGAAGGATTTTCCACGTGCTTCTTCCTGACAAGTCAACACCTATCATTTAAAATTCCATTGACCTATGAGCAGTGTTACTCTATGCAGTAATGGCATGAAGGATGTATGAAACATTGCCTTACCTCCCATGGTTATTGGTCTATGCCTGAAGAATTGTCTAAGTAATCCTTTAAGTTGAAGATGTTGTATAGTCAAACTGCTTGTGTGGGTAGAAGCACTGAGGGTTTTTATTGTTGGGAAAACTTATTTTGGTTTTGCTGCTCCTGCAGTGGGTCTGCTGGGCCTTGGGAACGGCCTTGGAATGGGCAATGGAGTGCTGGATTAGTACTACAGCTCTAGCTCTTCCTTCCATCTGGCCTGCAGAGCAGAGTAAGATGCCTTCCTCCCTGCTCCTTAGGATACTGAGAGTCTGGGTTGAGGCTATTTGATTAAGTATTCCTGAGGTCTGCTGAATAATCTTTTAAGTTTCAATGGTAAAGCAGTGGGGTCCACCTCTGTCAGGCTCACCAGATACGACTCTAGGATTTCCCACAGATAGAGAGGACATTGCATGTTTGGAATCTTTACCATGTTTGGAGAAAGCCATGGTGGTCCAGATCCTGAATTGAGTACTGCTGGAGTAGCACTGATCTGTGCACTCCTGTGTCTTTGGAGTTAGAAACAATAGTCTTGGACGTTTGAGAGGCTTCCCCTTTTTCATAAGTTTTCCTGTTCCTCTGAATCTCTTGGTAGCTAGGGGGGATGTTACAGAAGTTTGTGGACAATGGGGAAGCCACCACAGTGTACAGCAATAGGATGATGCAACTCCAAAGTGAAGGGGTTGCCTCATCTTTTTAGAATGAGCCTGCACCAGTTGCTTGGGTGGGTGTGTAGTCTTGAATGTGAAAATCTTAAAGAAAGAGAAGAAATGGTGGCTAAGAGATGCTGTTGCTGTGTGACCGAGCAACTCGGGGAAACCTAAAAGATTCCCAGACTGCCTAAACAGACCAAGGACAGATGTCCTTAAAAGAAATGAATGTTTTTTGTAAGGGAAAGCAGCTTAGTCTGAAGGACTGTTGGAGAGACATACTTCTATATCTTGCCAATACAAAAGACTGTAGAAGTTCCTGGCTCTTTGTAGCACAGAGAGCAAGTTTGTTTGCTGTGAATCAGCTTCATGAGGTCAAGCTTGACGGGCTGGTACCATCTCCAGACTGCTAGATGTGGTCTTAAACTTGAATAAAAGCTCTCCCACAAAATTACTGGGAATGCAGCCATGCTTTGAGGATACGCTGCCACCTTTCAGGTGCAGCAAGTCAGTTTGTTCAGAGATTGTTCCCAAACAACTTCTGAAACAACTCCTTTTGCCAGTGGCAACAACGTTGATCATGTTGGGAGGTGCTTAGGGACTTAGCAGCAAAGGAAGGTCTCCTCGTTTGCCCTGCGGAAGTTATACGCGGGGTGGGAGGTGGAGTAGTCCTCAGTTTGAAGTAAGTTTCCTCACCTCAGAACGGAGGCTTAGTCTTCCCCAGGTTACTGTTGCCCCAGTTAATCAGTCAGTCTTGGCTTAAATTTCTTTTCCTGCTTCTTCTGCTGCATCCTGCAACTGTAAAGTTCTTCAGTCTCATCTCTGCTAAGACCAGAATTGGTTTGCGCTGATTGAGGCGAAACGGCCTTTGTCTTAGGGCAGGAAACTTAGGCTTTTCTTGTTTTAAACTGCTGCTCATTGTATGTGAGGGTTCTTCCCCCTAGGAAAGTTGTGTTTGTGGCTAATGAAGCAGACTGAGGATGGATGGATTTTCTTCTACTTAAATCAGTTAAAGATCAGAGAAAGATTAGTCTCTTGCTTCCCAATGTCTACTGGTGGGATGTATAAATCCCATATCTCTTATTATGACTAGATGAAGTGCTTTGGCTGCCCTGCCTCATAACTTTATTGACTTCCCAATCAAGTACTTCCAATACTTCTACGCTTCCCAGTTTAATAGGAAACCGTTACAGTGGGTAGGTAATGGGGGAGGGGGGCAGAGGTGCCATATTTATGACTAATTTTTTTCTGAGGTTCTAGCTGCTTTGCTTGTTTAAGTCCTTTGCCCTCATGGCAAAGAAGGCCAATAGCCTCCTAGGCTGCAATGAGGAAGAGTTTTGCCAGCAGGCTGAAGGAAGTGATCCTTCCCCTCTGCCAAGCACTCGTAAGGCCACCCCTGGACTGCTGGGTCCACTTCTGGGCTCCCTAGTACAAGACCTGCTTGGATGCGCTCGAACAAGCCCGGCAAAGGGCCACAAAGATGATTCAGGGATTGGAGCACTTGTCATACGAGGAGAGGCTGAGAGAGTCAGGACTGTCTAGCCTGGAGAAGAGAAGGCTCGGGGGGAATCTTATCAACCTTTATAAGTATGTGATGGGAGGGGGTAAAGAAGACGGGGCCAGACTCTTCTCAGTGGTGCCCAGTGACAGGACAAGAGGAAATAGGCACAAACTGCAACACAGGAAACTCCATTTGAACAGAAGAGAACACTTAACTGTGAGGGTGGTTACACACTGGAACAGGTTGCCCAATCAGGTTGTGGAGTCTCCATCCTTGGAGATATTTAAAACCTGACTTGACATGATCCTGGACAGCCTGCTCTAGCTGACTCTGCTTGAGCAGGGGGGTTAGACCAGATCTGCAGAG